CTGAGCCGGTGGGGGGGGGGGGCGTACTAGCCGCGCCCCCTCCCCCCCCAGCAGACCAGGGAGATGCGGGCGGCGGACCGAGACACACCGCGGTCCCGCCGCCCGGGTCCTCTGCGGCTTTGCTCCGTGTCTCCCTGGTCTCCCTGGTCTGAGCTGTCCTGCTGCCCGCGTGCTCCGCAGCTTTGCTCAACGTCTCCCTGGTCTGCTGGGGCTTAAGCAGACCAAGGAGACACAGAGCAGCTTTTCTCGCCCCGGAGGACATGGGCGGCGGGACCGCGGCACATCTGGGCGTCCCGCCACTCCCGTCCTCCGGGGCGAGAGAAATCCCGTTCGTAACTGCGGATCCGACATAAGTCGGATCCGAGTAACTCGGGGACTGCCTGTACTTCAAAGTAGGAGTCTGAAGATGTAAGTAAGTAACGTCTTGACCACCTTTGCGATGATAAAGCCCATAGTGAGATACTAGCAGCTTCAAAATATGACTCCGGCATGTCACTAAGTGAAAAGCAAGTAATAGTGTAACTTAAAAAACCATAGTAACTGAATGGTCCAAAAATTCTATCAGAGCCTCTATCTGGTTGGTTACGTTTTTTTTAATGTCACTTAATTTTTAAATGTTACACTCAGGTTTTGAGGGGGCGGGATGAATATTTAGATGAAAAGTTGACTCAACATTTGCAGAAGAGGGGAAAAAGTATTTCAAACCAGAAGTTTGTTTATACTTCTTGGTTTGAGGGGTTTTATCGTATGTGGTATGTTCTTGTCATGTCCGAAAAAGTATTTCAAATCAGAAGTTTGTTTATACTTCTTAGTTTGAGGGGTTTTGTCGTATGTGGTATGTTCTTGTCATGTCCGTCTCTTCAGTTTGGAGGCTTTCCACGTCTGACTTCTGGCTACTGCTGTACCTTTTTTCCAGTTCTGCGTCTAGATCAGAGGCTCTCAAACACTGGGGTGCACTGGTCTGGGGTATCATGGCTACCAAGAATGCAAGGACTTGACAGAGTGTGCTGAAGGGCTAGGAAGAGGCTTTGCCTGTAGCTTCCAGCTCTTCTTCCTGTGCAGTAGCAACCAACCACAAGTTGTCTTTTTTACTGGAGAGTCCACCAGGCACCCCCAGACTACTGACCCCCTGCTGGACAGAGCCTTCTCCTGCCCCACATCAGAGCACTTTCTGCTTTCCCTGCCAGATGGAGTCTGTGCTAGGGAAGAGGCTCACTGGACCACTGCAGAAGGCTTCCTTGATTGCCACATATTGACTCCCAGTATGGCGTGGTAGATGGACGTGGTATATATAGAAAATTAATTTCTGAAAGGGGCTCAGCTAAAAAATTAAGCCTTTTATTAGTGAAGTTGGATCAGTTTGCTGGTAGATGGCATTCTAAAGGTCGTGACATTTGTAATAAGGAGTTAAGAGAATCTAACATAACATGGAAGTGATGATGGTTAAATTTCATGCAACTAATTGCTTGTGCTCATTACTGCAAGTCACCAGAGTATGCTATGTCGTCAGAAACGAGGTCCCAAGTTGTCTGAGACTGTAGAATTTATGTTGTAATTCTTCACCTATATGATTTTGAATGGGTTTCACCAAGAATGTAAAACTGCTCAAATTAAACCCCCAGGAAGGCAAAGATGTGGTGGTAGCCATTCCGCCAAGCAGTTTCAAATACATTAATCATTGCATGTTCTGAATTATTGCTTAATGTGTTCCATTAGGTACTGTAGTGATCTATAATATGGGGGTAGAAATGTGCTTCTTTTTAATCTTGCTTGATGTTATTCTGTTTTAGAAGAAGTTTTATTCTCTCAAAGTTGCTCCCAAAGTTCAAGCCTCAGCAACTGCAGAGCAAGCAAAATTACATCTACAACCACAAGATCTTGAGGTGAGTGTAAATGATTTTTTTAAACTTTTTATTTGTGTTGGACTGAATCACATCACAAAGGAACACTGTGGTGACAGTACTTTTAATGGATCACTACACTGTAATGGGTCTTTTTTTTTTTTTTTTTTTTTTTTTTTTTTTTTTTTTTTAAATACAGATCACAAAATTACCAAATGGTTTAGTGATTGCTTCTCTGGAAAACTATTCCCCTGCTTCAAGAATTGGTGTATTCATTAAAGCAGGTAGCAGATATGAAACCACTGACAATTTGGGAACTGCCCATTTGCTCCGTCTTGCATCAAACTTGGTAGGTACCTTTCCACCGTTTAATTCTTTGAAGATAAGTAAAATGCTGGAATGCTTGAGATATTTTATAGAAACATGCATAATTAAAATTAATCTGGAGTACTAGATTGCTTAAATAACTAATGGCCTATCATTCCATCTCTTGTGTTCTTGGATCATATAGAACACAGGTGGCTAGTGGAAAAAAATTGTTACCTTATGACTTAGTTGTCTGGGAATAATGAATTCATGGCAGTTATTTTCTAGTAATCAAAAATTTGTTTCAAAAACCACGCAGCCATTGCTTCAGAGGAACATGGAATTAATGTAAACAAACTGAGCATTTGCATCAGTCTTTTAATGAGGCTATACACAGAATTAATTAAAATAAATTGAATGTTTAGTACCCATTTATTATGCAATTGACTTCTAAATAAAGTTTTTCTTATGAGACAATCTTAAGCTCAGAGGTTGTATTTTGAGGTCAGTTTTGCTCCCTGGCAATCTTGATTAGTGTATGCCCTATCTATGATTTTAGGTGAAACCATCATGTTAGAGTACGAACATGGTTATTAATTATAGTTGCAACTAAAACTGGATGAGTAGTACTAAGTTTGTCTCCTCTGCTTACATGTGTTTGAGAGAGCTATTGTTAATCTTTTTAGCAATAGCATGTTCATTTTTGTTCTCTGGCTATAAATTCAAGATTATGAAAAAAATGTTACTACACACAAGTAAATGGAAAAAATTCTTGGTAAACAGACCAGAAAAATATTTTAATTTTTTATGTTGAATTATACATAATAACCTGATGCAAATGAAATTGTTCTTCTAGTACCTAAAAAAGTAAAATCAGCTTCTGTGTTTTTAAAGTCTACTAAGGGAGCCTCTTCCTTCAAGATAACTCGTGGCATTGAAGCTGTTGGAGGTAACCTAAGGTTTGTAACTATTTAAAGATAATCTGTATTGCTGGGAAAACAGAGGAAATGGTAGGCACTGTGTCTAAAGCTTCCATGTGCAAAATGACCCAAACTGCCAAAAATAAACAAACCTACCCTATGAACATTATACTACATGGACAGATCACTCTGTGATATGTAAACTCTGAATAAGGCATGATGGAAAAGAAATAGCTTTTTAACAATAACTGAATAAAGTTCAACACATCCAAATTCTTCAATGACATAATTAGAACTTGAGTTTAATATAGTTTTTCACTTCTAGTTGAGAGAGTATCCATATGTATAGTCAACCAAAACTTGCTTTGCACAAAATATTTTAAGTACGCATCATTTTTTTTGTGCTTCATTGTCCAGATCTGTAACACACTTTTTTTTGCTTCATTGTCCAGATCTGTAACACACTGTTGTAGATTTTGGAGACAAAAAAACAGTTATCTTCCTCTACCGCAATTGAGCAAAACTTTAAAGATCGGCTTATTTATAATCTTACAGATGAAAAATTTGCAAGAGGAGTCATGTGTATGTGAATTTTAGAAGCCTTTGTAGTTAAATGGTGGGGGATTTAAAGTTCAAAACCTCACTCGTAAAAGTATAGAAGATA